GTTTTCATTCACATTTTTTAAAATTAGCAATTACTTTCTTGAAGGATTTGTAATTACTCATGGTGTATATCTGGTAATAAATTTTGTAACAAAATGTACTGTTTAAGTTTTTAATATGTTCCTAATAACGATTGATCATAAATTTGTGCATATTTTATCGCCGAAAAATATTGTGAATATCTTCATTTAGATTAGATTTAAAATTGGTGAAAGATTATGGAATGAAATAAGATATTTTTTTATTTTTAACACGCACTAGGATAAAAATATTTAAAATAAAATACTTTGAAAAATTTTCAATATGCATCGTATAATAAATTTTGAAATAAAACATAGTACCTATAATGGGTAATAAAATTTTAAATAAAATTATTTTTATACAGTAAAATAAAATACTATCATTATTATTAAGTTAATATGTACTCAAATTTTAATTTTTTAAAATTTTATATTTTCCCGTGCATGGTTAACGTCTGGTACTACATAAAAAACTAAAAAGAATAATAATAAAATTATAAAAGACCAATATGTAAAATCCAAGCGAGTGAGATAAGATGGCGGGGAGGTCAAAAACGTAGATGAGTACAACCGAACAGAGCGTTAACCAAGCGACCATAAAACGATGCAAGTTTAAATAAGTAGGGCTAGTCGTAGTCTCGATGACATGAGAGCAGCCACACAATAAATGAATCGGACGGAGCAAATGGTCCTGGCCCAACAGAAACCATTGACCAAACAACGGTCGACAATAGGACACGTGTCGGAGAGTCTCCCACAATTATTGGTTATTTATAAATGGTGAGCCCCCCTTGGCTTAGTCCCCTGCCCCCCAGACTCGAACCCCGAAGCGCCGCAGCCGGAGGGCGGCGGATTGTGACATAATCTTGTCGTCACGCGCGTCACCCGAGGACTCCCCCTCCTCTCTCGATCCACGCGCCTTCCCCCTTTTGCTTTTGGCCCAGTTGTTCTTTCCCACTAATTATCAAGATTCATATATGCTCGATTTTCAGTCACATTTATTTAATAAAAGATAATAATTATTTTCTTTATTTAAAAATGTAAATTATTTTTAAATAATTAAATATTTAAAAATATAAAATATTTTTAATTTTTTAAAGTATAGTTATTATTTTTTTAAATGTCTCTATTGATAAGGACTTTATATTTATTATAAAGCGTTTAACATAAGTGAATATGAAAAGATAAAGTTAGTTAAAAAATAAGTAATTATTTTATTAAGAGGTAATATTCAATTAAAACTACCTTATATTTTTAAAGAGAGGAAGTATAACAAAACTTATATTTGAATATATTTTTTTAAAAAATTAATTTAATAAACTAAAAATTATATAAATTAACAAGGATTTGTGCTTTTAAATATGTAATGATAAAAAAGAACATTAATTTATAATAATTTATAATTTTTATTATTTACATATAATATATTATAAATGTTAAAAAATGGGAAAAAAATTTATTTTGAATATGTCATCTTAAAAAAGGACATTGATTATAATATGCTGTTCTAAAATTTTTTTTACTCCAACAATTCCATGAAAAAAATATAATAAAATTAACATTATAAAGTTGTCCAGTCTATAAATTACATTTATAGGGACGATCAATCATTTTGCACCTTTTCTTAATTAATTGATTATATTTTTAGTGAAGTTAATTAATTATCTTTGACAGTAAGAGTTAGAAGAAAAAATTGGAGCCAATATTCTATAAGTAAAATATCATCAGTGATTGAGCATGATTATAGTATTGGCATAAGCCATTTCTCAGGGGCAATGAAACAAGAAGAAAAAAGAAAATAATCAGAGAGAGAAAGAAGTACCAAATACTGAATCTATATTTAAAAAATTTTAAATAATTACGTTTATTAAATTAACTCTCAATTACTATTTAAATATATTTTTAGGATATATTTTTCTGTAAAAATATTTTACCTATATAACTTTTAACATCTTTAGAGTTAAATTTTATTTTCCGAACGTAAGTAAAAGGCAAAATTCCCAAAGGTACCCGAAAGTTAGAAGAATGATAATGCGAGAGATTCCTATTTTTTCTGCTTTAACTTGCTGTGAGCAGGAAAGGCCAGGAAGGGTCGGTCGGAAGGCAGAAAGCAGTAAAGCTGGGGTTGAATTCCGGCTGAGTCTAACCGGCCCGACAAAACGGGTCAATCCATCAATCAGATGCACCGTCGCAGCGTGTCATTCTGGGGGATGAAGTTTATGTGTTGTCTTAGCCTTAACGGCTCTCAAATTAACATTAACGTTACCATAAAATCCTGTCAGAAAAGAAGGGCTGCAATCAAAGCGGGGTTATGCGGGTCGGGTCGGGTCGGGGGAAGAGGAATGGGAAGGGAGAAAATCTTGAGAGTCGGAGTTGGAGCAGACGAGCAGTGATGTGTCAAATTGGGAAGGCATATCAATCGGGTCACAGCTTATCACGCTTCCCCCCTCACTGTTACTGTTGCATTTGTTAGTGATTCGACTGATTTGATGGCATATCCCTGATTCCTACATTTATTATATAATTTAAAGTTATATTTAATAAATGAGTGTATAATTTTATTAAAAAATATTTTATAAATTTAAGCTGGAGAGGACAGAGAGTCAAGATTTAAAAATAAAAGAGGTTAATAATAAAAAAACATACATACAATAAAATTTTATAAGTTTTAGAAGGATAAAAAATATATAATATTTATATAATATAAAAAAATTTAAAAATTTAAAAATGTTACAGCCCTTGCTAGTCTCCTTTTCTCCGTCACTGGGGAGGAGTAATATTTTTGCGCACGCGGGTGCATGTACACCTTTGAAAAGTTACACGGTACTCCTCCTGATATTATATCGACGCTGTAGAAACTTGGCTTTGATTATTTCTGATGAGAATAAAAAATGACGAGACCTTTGGAGCTAGTTTGCCAAAAGCAAGAAGTAAGGGGGGGAAAAAAAGCGTAGCGGTTAGTTATATAAAGCTTTTAAAAATAAGATGAATATAACAGCATACGATAAACAATTAGTCGACTTGATAGCCGTTGCCTGGCCTGTAAGATATATGTGCTCAATTCCGAAGAATGAGAAGTGAGATTTAATCTTGAGGTATAATAAATTATGTTACTTAAAACTTAAAAGTCAGATTTGTTATTTTCTTTTCCTTGCATGCATAATCCTTTAAACGTAACAAAGTACAAGTGGGGAGAGGCCAGGTGGACCGCCATAGCAAACACAGACCATAGCTTGACAAGAAGTTTCGCATCCAATTCATGGACCCTTAATTCGTACAAAGTAAAATAAAGACACAGTGCAACAAAGTATTGAACATGAAGAAAAATATCAGTACGAGTGAGGAGGTTTCAGGTTTAGAGAGAGAGAGAGAGAGAGAGAGGGTGAGAAGAGCAGGAAGCAAGGGTACGGAAGAAACAAATAGAGGAGGGATAGGGTTAATAAGAGAATGAGAGCAGTTAGAAAACCAGAGTAATACGCAAACATGAGAACTGAAGACGATGGATGGATGGATGGATTTCATTTTCTCGCCACATGACAAGTCAGTCAAGTCAACCTCTTCCACTATTAATCATTTTCAACTCTCCGTCTCTCGTTTGTTCTCTCAATGTCCGCACTCTAACCATCAATGACATTATTATTAAACTAATTATATCCTCACGTGATGTCTTAGATTATAAAACAACGTTTCAAAACATTTTGTTATCTCAAAATATAAATAATTAAAAAAATAACATTTTATTACAGATATTTTTTAATATTTCTTTTTAAGAGAAAAAAGAATTAAAATAATATTGTAATATAATAATTAAATTTATATAATATATTTAAAAGTTTATAATTTTACTTTAAAAAATAAGTTTACTATTATATTTTTATTGATATATATAATTTTATTTTAAATCGTCTTGTAATTTGGGAGGGAATATTATGGGCAAATTATCTTTTATTGACATACGTGAGAAATTTTTAACATAATCTAATCCTCCAAATAAAGTATTTTTTTGTTTAAAAATATAATATATTTTTAGTCGAATCTCATCTTTTAATAAAATAATTATCTATTTTTTAACTAATCCTATCTTTTTATATTAACCCCTATTAAACACATTACAATAAATATAAAGTTATTATTAATAAGGATACTTAAAAAAAAGACAATAATAACATATCAAAATATTAAAAATGTCTTATATTTTTTAACGAAGGGAGTATATAGTTATCTTTAAATCAACATCATTTTTTATATTTATCTTTATTCAATAAAGGTGCTTTGTTTTAAAATAAATATAATATAAAATAATTTATTTATTAAAAATACTTTAAAAAACACATTAATTAGACTTTAAAACACATAGATTGCTTTATATTTTCAAATGGATAGAGTAGTATTAAATATTTTTCTAAAATGATTGCTCCCCTGTATTAAAATGGTAAATAGTTTGTTTTATTTTCAAAGAAAATAATCTGTGTTGCAAAATTGAGATGGATCAAGTTATTTTTTCAAAAAGAAAAAGCTCTCTCCATTTCATTAGTATTGGTTTTTAAAAGTTGTTAAATTAAGAAAATTAAAACATCAATTATACATGGGCCATCGATGTTTTACTAGCATTAAAAAAACATGCCTTGCTTAATCTTGACATATAACTTTGAAATAGAAATCCAAGCTAAAAGGCAAACCAGGAGATCTCAAACCAGAAACGCTAGAGCTAAAGTTAAAAATTTGAGAATAACGAAAATGAATGAATTGTTAATTTTAAAGCAATGTAATTTATTTTTGGGTAAATAAACAAATTTAATTATTAACTATTTTTGAAAAGCGTCTGGTATCCTGCACTAAGAGTTAGTTCGAAATAAAATATGAACTATAAAAAAGGAAGTATGAAGAGCCTCCTTTTTTTTTTGAATAGATAAGGCAGGCTAAAGCCTAAAAGAGAAACAAATAGTTAAGTAAAGCTAGAAAGGAAATAAACCCAAAAGGAACTAAGCAAACCGTAGCTTATCCGTAAGAACTAGGTCGCTGCATTCAGCAGGAACATTTGCCAACACGGTTAGATTATCACTTTCCATGTGAGCATTCTTGGCCAAACAGTACATGACCCTATTTGTTTCATGCCTAACAAAAGCTAGTTTGATGTTGGAGTTGGAGAATAGGAAGTCTCTTGCTGAATTGATTTCAGCACACATTGGATGGTCATCATCAACATTGATTCTAAGAAGAGATATAGCCTCAGCAGCGTCTGAGCAGATGGTAACCTGACTGAGATTAAATTGTTGGCAAACTTCAAGACTAAAACAGATAGCTTGAATTTCAGCTAATATACTAGGTAAAAATCCTAGTGAGCGTTTAAAGCCTGGAACCCAGTTTCTCTCTCTGTCACGTATGACTCCTCCACATGCTGCATGCCTTTGGCTGTCAACAGAACCATCGACATCCATTCTAAGATTATTACTTGGCAGCAGGGTCTAGTGGGTGAGGTTGGAATCCTCACATTAGAATATTTCGTGTTTGTATTTTTCTTGCACCACAGACTCCCTTAGCTTGTAAAGGCATTGGAATTTTAGGTTTAAAGGTCTTATATATTTGTCTTCCATAGCTTTTTTACACCTAGCTTTCTAAAGTAGCCAACAACCATGACTGAAAACTATAAATCATGGCCATTTATTGAAAGTTACATTTCCAAAAGAGTTTGTCATGTTGTTCCTAAGCCAACCCTGTAAACTCATGTCAAAAAACACAGAAGAGAGATTGTGGTTAAGTAAATGGTTCCAAAAATTTGTAGCCTCACAACAATTCCTCAAGACATGGATAACACTATCTTCACAGTTACACTTAAAAACACGAGTGTCTCTCTAAGCTAAACCCTTCTTCACTCTCAGAGAATTAGTGAGGATCCTCTCTTGAGAAGCTTGCCATAGGAAGAATTTAATCCTTTTTGGAAGGGGCCAATGCCAGAGGTTCTTCAAAAGCTATTAGGCAGGCCTCTATTAGGACGATGGATAAATTGATAAGCTGACTTCACAGAGAAAGAGCCATCTCTAGATTCCCGCCAACAAAACACATCCAGGTTATTTTCCATTGGTACACAAACATTGATAATTTTGTTAACAACCTCTCATGAGAGAAATAGAAGGCATTTGTTTACATCCCATATTTCAAAGGGCAATACAAAATCAGTAATAGTATCAATAGGATTAAGGCTACTCTCATTGCGTGTTACATAGTGGATTAGAGGTTGGTTTAGAAGCAACCAAGATTCCACCAAAACTTGGTATTTTGCCTGTTATTGATTTTCTGACCCATACTCGCTTTGAATGTTTCCCATACATCACAAATGCTACGCCAAGTTATAGATAACCTCCTATTTTTGATGACAGATTCCACACTTATATTTGGTCCTCAAGTATTTAACCCACATCACATATGGTTTTGTGAATAAGGCCCAACAAAGTTTCATAATGAATGCAGTATTCTGGCATTTGAGATCTTTAATGCTTAGCTCTCCTTCTAGTTTAGTCCGTTTCATGGTATCCCAAGCAATCAGATGATTTTCCTCTTAGTTTTGAATTGACGAACGTTAATTGATCAATTTCTACCCTATCCTTGTCGACGTGGCTATACGTGCGGCATTTCCTTACACCTCTCTCCTCCTTCTCCTTTTCTTCTTCTTTTCATGGGCACGCTGATTGTCAGCCCCTCCCTTACCCGCTCACCCTACTCATTTGCCACTGATGCCACTGCTCAAGGCACCTCTTTACCTCTTGCTTATTTCTCTCAACTCTTTAACTCTCTTTAGTTTCGTCACTACCTCTCTCCATCCTGGCCCCTCATTTTTGTTCTCGCTTGAATCTCTAGTTCATGTTTGTTGTCCCTTCGACCTTCCTTGTTTCTTAATTTATAATATCTTAATTATTTATTATAAATTATTTCTTTTCAAAGGTGGAAGAGAAGATCAAGGAGAGGCAAGGTGTTTTGTGTTACATGTCTCTGTGAGGTCTCTATAGATGTGTTTATAAATATACCTATACTATTGCTTCTTGGTAATGTACCAATGCCAACAAGGACTCTTCTCTTCCCTTTTTCTTCTCCCTTTGAGAGAATCGATAAATTTCCCTTTAGTAGATAAAGAATTCGTAGGAACTCTAGTGGTCAAGTCATGGTTTTCTACTTTTCTTTTCCCCTTGTTTAGTTTCCTGTGCTTTGTTCTTAGATTTTCTCTGTTTCTTGGTTTTGGGCATCCATTGATTTTCTATTGTCTTTATGGGTTTTGTTAAATGTTTCTGTTTGCTAAGCCAGATGAATTGGGATATCGGTTATGGTTTGTTTGTTTGTTTTGATTTCACTTGTTTCTATTATGTCTTCAATTAGGCATCACTAATCTCAAGTCCTATTTGTAAAACTTTCCTTGTTAGCAATCTCAGGCTCTTCTTCTTCTTCTTGATGTGTTGAATTAGCCCTTTGGTTGTTATTTTTCTTTGTGCTGGGCTAATGGATTTTGTTTGAGCAATGACGCTAATGGCAACAATGTGTGTGGTGTGTGGGAAAAACATCAAAGAAAAGGGATGTCGGAGGTAGTGGAGTAGCTAGAAAATTGAGGTAGAAGATTCACAATTCAGGCAATGTGAGGAGTTTGTATTACAACTATGCATTTCAAGTGGGCTGACACCAGGTGGATTAAATTTTATCACATTTAAAGCTACAAACATAACCTGAATCAAAATAACACACTCAGATGGTCAACTAACGCGAGTCCATTTAAAATTTATTGGGAGGTGCTAGATGCTTTATTTTTTATAATTCATATTTTATTTCAAATTAACTCATAGTTCAAGCTATTAAATGCTACTTGAAAAATAATTGGTAGTTTAATTTGCACCTTTACCTTTTATTTTTTTTCAATTTCTAGCTTAGCTTCTTAATTTCCAAATGACACCCTAGGACCCCCAAAGCACTTCTATCAAATGTTTTTTCTTCAAAAAAAAATCACATTTTAAAGTTTTTGGGTAAAAAAAATCATTATTTTTTCATTTAGTATCTAATAATCATTTTCCCATTAATAATACAGTAAATACACGTTCGATTAAAAAAAATCATTTGGCTGTGGTAGCAATCAATGAGAAGGGCTAGGGAATGAAAATTAAATATTTGACTCAGAGCTAAAAAAAAAAAAAAACTTGTGCAGCAGATAAACGATTACTATATTCTTGAAAAAGACAGGACGAGCCTACAATAAATTAGACAAGTTGAGGCAGAAATCTATGTAACTCATCAGCAAGCTTGCCATCTTTCAGGTTCTCCTCAACAGCGAAAGCATGCCACACGTAAAAAATTAAAAAGTTAAAACCCCCAATCATTCAAATCAGCCTTCAAAATCCTATAAAAAGATTTTAAAATTTTTAAAAAATCACATAAAATATGAAGGGAAGATGCATGATGGTTACTTTTTTTTTTAAGTAGAATTCAGAATTTAATTAAGGCAGTGAGGGGGAGAATCTTTTTGTCGTTTGCGTTTAGAGAGAGAGAGAGCGAGCGAGCGAGCGTGCAGTACAAAAAATTGCACAAAACAGTCCCGTATAACTAGCAAAAGTAACTGCAAACATCAGTGATAAAAAAGTGAAACCATATTATTAGATTGAGGAGGAAGATGGTTGCTGCTGCCACTGCAAAAACCAAATGCAAAATCGGACACTTTTGGGTTACCAGATGCTATACCATAACTCTTCAGAACGCTCAGCAACAAATACCCAGAAAAGCACCCCAATAATCATCATCACTGTTTGTGTAGGTGTATCCCCAACTTGAAAGAAAACGAGAGAGAGAGAGAGAGAGAGAGAGAGAGAAGTTGGCGTGTAATAAACATGGCTTTGGTGGTATATCTGAATATTTAATTTCAGTACTGTGCTGACACAGAAGATATGAAACAGCTTTATCGATATATATAAGGTGAAAATCTCTTCCTGTTTTTAATTTTAATTCTGCTCTGGTTAACTGGTAAATATATATATCTCTATCTCTCTCACGAATAATAATAAAACTACTTTCTGTTCCCTCGCCTCATTTTCTTCACTGACAGAGGAATACCTGCACACTTACTACGCACGCACGCATACTCAAAGCAGAGCCCAGGGGGAGCCCACTCACTCTCTCTCTAGCTATGTGGTTTTGTGATAAGGACCGTAGCAGAGTAGAGAGAGAGATTAGGAGCAGAACAGGACAGCACAGTGCAGAGAGAGAAAAAAACAGTCACACAGATTTATTTTTTTTCTTTTATAATTTTTCCAGCCATATCATATCATGCGTACTACCTTATTATTATTTCTTGGCTTTTAACTCCCTGCCACTCGATTCATCAAATCCTCATCATAACCCATCCTCCATAACTCGGAACCAATCCATATCCCCATTAAATAGGGAAAGTCAGCAACCAAAGTTGCCAACTTTTCCTCTCCTCGTTTTCTTTATTGTATAACCAAGTACCTTTGGCTGTTAGAGCCAATATTCTCTCGTTCCCAGTCTCTGCCAGCTCTCTCTTTTCTCAAGTAAGATGGATAGCTACTACCATGTCGATAACGGTGATGCTCATTTGCCTCCTGGGTTTCGCTTTCACCCGACTGACGAGGAGCTCATTACCTTCTACCTCCTCAAGAAGGTTCTGGACAACAGCTTCACAGGCAGAGCTATTGCTGAAGTTGATCTTAACAAGTGTGAGCCGTGGGAGCTTCCTGGTGAGTCTTCATTGTTCTTAGTTTCTGCGCTAGTTATCTTTTGTAGTTTGAAATGGTTCGCTAATACTACTTTATGTCAACTTCTCGATGCATGGTTCGCAATGTTGACAGAGAAAGCGAAGATGGGGGAGAAGGAGTGGTACTTCTTCAGCCTCCGAGACCGAAAGTACCCGACTGGCCTGCGCACTAATAGGGCTACAGAGGCTGGATACTGGAAGGCCACTGGAAAAGACAGGGAGATTTACAGCTCCAAAACTTGCTGTCTCGTTGGTATGAAGAAGACCCTAGTTTTTTACCGAGGCAGAGCTCCCAAAGGCGAGAAGAGCAACTGGGTGATGCATGAGTACCGCCTTGAAGGCAAATTTGCTTATCATTACCTTTCACGCAGCTCCAAGGTCTTCTCTTCTCACTCTTACCTTTTCTCTTAGAACAGTGTTTAACTCGTGTACTGGCAAAGGTTAAACAGCATGATGGAATCTTGCTTTCCTTGCGTCTACATTAATTAGGGTTCTTTTACTGTTGTTAAGGCATGAAACCTTTTTTTCCCGATTCTTCTGAACACTCGGTTCTCGTCCAGGGCAATGTACTTTTTGGCCTATCGTAAAGCTGTTTTTTTTTCTATCTGTGCATTCCGTAAAGGTATGGCGAGCAGTTATTGGATATTGCCCAACGGTTCATAAAATACTTTGCATGGAAACTACATAGTGTTATTATATCTAAGCACTGCATTATCCTTTCAATTTTTCCTTGCCATATGATGCTGCGAAGCAGAAGATCCTGGGAGTCAGATTTTGCTTGCAAACAGTTACTTGTTATGCATATTCATGCAGCAACATTTATTGTGGCGTATTTTAATTCTCTTCGAAGCATGCGCTGACAAAATGTCCAGTTCCTTTCAGCCCTTTTGCTGGTGATAATGCTTACTTGAAATGGTTCTCTTTTGATGAATCAGGATGAATGGGTCATCTCGCGTGTTTTCCAGAAGAGTCTCTCCTCGGGGACAGGCGGCTCCACCGTATCCTCCGCCGGCGGCTCCAAGAAGACAAACGCAAGAATGAGCTCTTCTGTTAACATGAGCCTTTACCCTGAACCAATTCTCCGTCCTCCATCTACCTTCCTCCCTTGCTTGACTCCTCGCCCTACACCGCCGCCAACGACCGTGATAGCTGCTACGATGGTAGCAGCACAACTCCGAGGGAGCACGTGTCCTGTTTCTCCACATACTCTGCGTCCGCTGCCGCCAACAACCTCGCCAATGTTAGCTATGACCTCGCTCCTCCTCTGCCGCCGCCGCCACCGATGACTCTGGATCCATTTGCTCGATTCCAGAACAACGTTGGTGTTCCTGCCTTCCCGAGCCTGAGGTCACTGCAGGAGAATCTTCAACTGCCTTTCTTGTCTCCGGCCATAACTCATGGTGGCTCCGGTGTTGACATGAACGGATGGACTAAGCCGGAGGAGGAGAGTGTGGCGAGTGGCGGTTCTGGCATGGCGCTGTGCCCGTCGGAGCTTGATTACGTGTGGGGAGGCTGCTAGCTTTTCTGTTTGACTTGTCTTTCTTAGATGACCCATAGGGGATTAGACCTGAAATCTATGTTTCTATTATTGTGGGTTTGATGTCTTGAGTCTTTCTAGATTTTAGCGAGTTTTAATGTACGTTATTGCTAAGGATTATTTAGTGTTGTCAATTTTATCGGGGTTATGAACCAGTTACATTTATTATAATATAAATTTGAAGCAAGGTTCCATACTTCCACTCATTGTAGTATCAGTGCAGGATCATTTGGCAACTTTTTGCACCAGACATAGGGGGCACTTTGTGGCAAGGTTATCTGGTCCGAGTATCATGGTGTCGGCTTTAATGGGATAAAAATATGAACCCGCGTCTTTTTGTTTGGAAAGGAAGTAAAATCCTGGTAATTTTGTTAGAACTAGCAATCATTTTTGTTTCGTCCTTTCTTGAACAACAGGGAATCATTTTTTGGACTGATGTATGTTATCTTAAATTCGTTGAAATGTTTTTCCTCACTCGTGTCATACATATTTAATATCTCTGGCACTTAATTTCTTCTTTTATCCTTAATCTATTACTTAGTGAAAACATGTTCTTCTGAGTATTAGTATGGCGTTTTGAATTTGTTTTATAGGATTATATTTAAAATTTTATATATTTTATTATTTATATTTTTTAATATTGATATTGATGAGGCTAATAGTAATGATTTATAAAAAAATATTTAAATAGTATGATCTAGCACACGTTGCTGGTTATGAAGGTAATAAGTTTAATCACACTCAAGCAGAGCCCTATGCAGAGATAAATATGCCTTGATTATGTATACAAGATAAATCATACTATACAATAAACTTATTCACACATGCATCGAATTTACGTGTACCTAATATTAGAAGGTGGGAAGGACGAGACTCGAGAGAGAGGTTATTAACTGTGACGATATAACCCAGAAGGATAAAACAAGAGAGAGGTTAGGGTGTTTCAAGTTTGAAGACAGAGAGGCCTCACGCAAGCAGCAAAAACATTTAATGGGCAGTTGATGAAGAGAAGAGAGGCATACGTACAGAGAAACAGAGGAAGGAGGAAGGTGGTTCTGGTTCATTTTCACGTGGGGGCACTGAGACTGAGTCTAGGATTTTAGACTGTGAGGGACTTCTGTGGCTGAGTTTAGATACACCAACCCTACTTGTGGAATTGACAAATTTAATGCTGTCCCTATTTCCTTTCAATCTTTTTTACTCTTTCCTCCGAAGCCTTTCTCACTTCCCAATTAAATACACCAAACCTTCCCTCCTCATTTCTCACATCTCTTCTTCGCCTGTGTGGGGACTCCTAAGTAATTCCGTAACTGCTTAAAAAGTTTGAAGTTCACAGCACCGCCCATATCCATGGAAGGATAAAATCTGCATAGTATATGACACGTTGGAGTAGGGGTTTGGTATTTGCAATCAATGCTTGCTTTGAAATGGGACACAGAGGCGACATGAAAATTAAATTCTCTTTACGTCTGCAGCAATGTTCTTTGCATATAAATTCCTGAATTATAAGGTTCCGTTTGGTTTTCTTTTGTTTCACGTTCAGAAAGTAAAATTTTACTTTCAGAAAATTAAAAATTGTTTGGATAGAATATTTTACAGGAAAGCACATCTGAAAGTACATTCAAACAGTAGCTGAAAGTGTATTTCTGAAACGTAATTATTTGAAACTTTTGAAAAGTGAATTTGAAAAGTAAGATATTATTTGACCATACTACCCTAAATTTAATCTCTTATTCTTTTATTAAAAATATAATTATTATTTTAATAATAATAATTAGATATCATTTTTTTAGTATTATAAATTAATAATTAATCATATTAATTTTTAACATTAATGTATATTAAAAATTACAAATCTTTATTACATCTTTTAAAATTATAAATTAAAAAATACAAATAACTAGAGATCAAATTTTTAGCATTATAGATCAAAATTTGTGTTATTTAAAATCTTTATTATATTTTTTAAATATTTTAAATATATTAAATTTGTATAATAAAAATTATAAATTATTATAAATTAATGTCCTTTTTGGTAATTGTACACTCAAAAACACATTTCACTATCACAAACCAAACAACTTTTAATGTATCAAACTGACTTTTGAAAAAATATATCCAAACACAAATTTCGTTACAACAACTGACTTTTACTAAACTGACTTTCACCAAATGGACTTTTGACAAACTGAAAACCAAACACACACTAAATCTATCTAAATTCGCTCGCTCGCAAACTGTAGCGTTCAATAACACTTTTTTCATTAAAAAAATATAAAACATTTTTAATTACATCTCATTCTCTAATAAAATAATTAATTATTTTTTAATTAATTTTATCTTTTCATATTTACTTTTACTAAACACCTTATAAGTTAATAAAGACACTTTAAAAAAATAATAATTACACCTTAAAAGATTAAAAATGCTTTATATTTTTTAATATTTAATTTTTTAAAAAATGCCTTATATTTTTTAACGGAGTGAGTATATTGTTTGAAATATTCAGCCCTAGAAATTTACCTTTTTTTTTTCTTAACATGACTATTGAGTCAATGTTCACAAGGATTTGGAATACTCTATAATTCTTATTATGCAGTCTAAATTAGTAAGTTGGAAGTGTCATAGATTATCATCAATCACAAACTCAAGGGCGACCAGTAATTTTATTTTCTTTTTACCAGATATACAGGCCATGTGTCGTTGAAATCAAGCGGGGAGTGTCATATATTGTAAATAATGATCACTCATAAGAAAGAGGGTTATCAATTATACATCTTTTCTTTCCAGGGATCAGTCTTTATGTTCGAGAAATAAATACTTAAAACAAAATCCGTGTTAAATCTTATTAACAGAATATTCATTTCAATAAGTTTTAATTTTAATTTGACGTTTAATGCTTATTTTAAATGAAATGTGTGTATATTGTGGTAATTAAACATCATATAACATGAAAGCTCATTATGAATGATTTATGATTTTTTATCAAGCAACCTAAACTAAACAAGCTGTGGGTAGGCCAGGGGTGATCATTTACACAACACACTCCAAAATGGAAAACAAATCATTACAATGACCTTGCATTCTTGTGACTTTCACAAAAATGGAGAAGAAGAAGGGTTGTTTCAATGAGGAAACACTTCCATTGAAGCCTTCCACTAAAGGACATGACTTGTTAATTCCCAGCAACAAAACACACATCCTATTCTGCTGCTCTCGCCATTCAACAGACCGGGTGGTTGCAGAAGAGAGCCACTCAAAGAGTATCATATCTACAGTACTTTGGGTGAGCCACGTGGAGGGCTGTGATGTGGTGCAAAGTTGATAATGATGGTGATGATGAAACGGGTCTGTCGACCTTAAGGTACATTAAGGTTGAAAATTGGGGGTGTGATCTGTGCATGATTGGGAAGGCAATGAGTACAGTACCAGATATGGGTGGTGGGTTTGACTCTGCGAGACCATAGGCCATAGGACAAGACACAGAAGGGAGCAGCGTGAGCCAGCTGCGGTTGAACATGGAAATGGAATGGCACGCGAAGTAGTACGTTCGGATGCCAAGTCTTTCGGACATTTACACAAACACTTGGTAGGTCTCAGAGAGAGAGAGAGAGAGAGAGAGAGAGAGAGAGAGAAGCTTTTCTCCAGCAATATGCATGATGGCTTATCCTGCTCGGTGATGGGTCTGAAATAATAAGGCAAGGAATAATGTGCAGGTGCTAGTGTCCAAACGCCAAAAGCTTGGGTTTGGCATTTATACAAACACAAGGGAATCATCAGCTTGGAAACAGAGAATGCAATAATAGTGCCCGAGCTCTGTCTTTTCTTTTTTTTTTCCCCTGTTGCATTGGTCCATGAATTTACGTTTACTTGCCCTGTTTGAGCTTTCCTTTTGCGATGAGAGAAAGTTTTGCTTCAAATCCTCCTTTTATGCTCTTTTCTTGTGAGTTACGATGCAAGATTTGAATAGGTGCTGGTCCCCTTGGAAATGCTCCGTTCCGTGCCAGTTCGCAAAGAAAAAATGAAGAACTTCGGATTCCAAATGGAAGGAGCGTCCAATGATAAATCGACAAAAATCAAGCTTGGAACTTCAAGCTCTTCAAAATTTGATAAAACTAAAACTCGCAATACCATGATTATCAGCTCCTCTTGTGTCGAATTTCACCTTCACTGAACTTTTCCAGATGGGGGTGCAATGGGCGTAGGATTAACAACATAAAATCAGGTGAAGAAAAAATCAACATGATAAGTTCACCCCAAAAAAGAGATTTACATAGAATCTTTTTCAGTATTTACAGGAAAACAACCATCTTTGGTAGTTTCTTTCTTTCTTTCTTTCTTCTTTCTTTTGAAAAAGGGACTTAATACCTGACATTACTGTCATTATTGATATTATCGTGCCTTTAGCAAGTGAAGCTAATATTTTTCATAACTAAATATGAATCTCAAACATTAAATGGACCCTAACAAAATAAGTTGTGTTGTAATGTTGTTAATAGCTTGATTTTTTTTTTTGGGCGTAATATTAACAACATAAAATCAACTGGTAAAGAAAAAATTAACATGATAAGTTCAGAGAGAGAGAGAGAGAGAGAGATTTACATAAAACTTTTTAAGTGTTTACAGGAAAGCAGCCATCTTTTGTCATTGATATTTCTTTACTTTTTCTTTTTATAAAAAGGGCCTTAATACTTAAAATTACTGTCAATATTGATATTATCGAGCCTTTTGGCAAGTTGATCAAGCTAATTTGTTTCATGACTAAATATGAATATTAAACATTAAATAAACTCTAAAAAAATAAGTTGTGTTGTTCAATTTTTTTGGTTTATAAGAGTATTAGTTTTAAAGTTTTGTATTGATGATATTTTTACCGTTGTTGTGCTTCCAGTGCCTTACTTATCTTTGGAAAATATTTTTTTAAATTGAATTTTATATTTACAAGCAACATTTTTAATTCTGAAAAAAATGCAATGCTATTGCTATCACAGTAATAAATATTATAATGATATTCATTTTTGTTTTTACAAAATCAAGGTAACTGGGCCTGAACAGGTTAACCATTTCTGGGTTGGGCCGGAAAAGACTGGAACCCGCATATTAATTAATGATAACTGATATCGGTTGGTTATTTACACATTTCATCACTTTTATTAAAAATTAAAAAAGATTTAACATTCAACAAGAAATCATCAATCATATGGGAAAAAAAGGTATGTGATGTAGCTGATATGATCTCAGTTTTTTTTGGTAGCCATTAGTTGATAAAATGGTTTTGTACTTCTGTAAATATCTAAAAAAAATTTAACTTCTTGTTTTTTTTTTTGCCCAATAAAAAATTGTACTTCTCCAAACAATAAACATGGTGCTTTATTAATCTTAACTTTTCTAAGCATGTAAGCCATTTTTTTTTAAAAAAAATAGGTGTGTTGTGTTTCAATAGAGCACTTATAAGTCACTTGTTAATTAGATTTTTACATATTTAAAACCATAATTTTATAAGTTATGAATTAAATTGTTATTAACAGAACAATTCTTTATTATTTTTGTTAGCCACATGTTAACTTAACCCACAGAAATAGTATAATTTACCTTAAAAAAGAAAAAATAAAAAAGAAAAAAAAGACGAGGGTGGGTAGTATGGTAATTGTGTCTCTGTACACGGGCGATGAATATGTGCTGCGGATAACGGGAGACGAAGAAGGATTTTGCTCGCAGAGCTCTGCGATAAGGAAGAGAGATGGCAACGGTTTCATGCTCATGGCTCACCCTTCCCTCCAAAATGAGAACTCTTTCGCTTACTACCTCTGCTTCTCCAGCTGCCTCGACTTCCTTTAGCTTTTCCAGAAGCATTTCTCACAACGTTTTCTCCGAAGGTATTGTCTTTCGCTCGCACGTTTGTTAATTTACTCAGTAAGTTCACTTGTATTTCTAGTTCCTTCCATAATTTCAGCTGAAGAATGTGTAGGATGTTGTTTGGAGGAGTCTGAACTCTGGGTTTGTGTTGGCTTTCAGGTTGCTTGTTACTGAGCACATTACAAAGTAGGTCGATTCGGCATTCCGTGGTCTGTGAGGCGGCTCCGAAACGAAAAGCCGATTCGGCTGCAAAGAGAGCTCGCCAGGCCGAGAAACGTAGGGTTTATAACAAGGCCCGAAAGTCCGAAGTCAGAACCCGCATGAAGAAGGTGCCCAGTTAGCACATTTTATAATTTTGCGTTTTAGTCAACATTTCTTTTATAGAGAAAGCATTTGTGACGTGTTCGAATCTCTTTGCTTGATGAAAGATTTCTTTCATTTTTGTATTTTACACTTCATTAGGGGAAGAGGGGAACTTTATTCCTACTTTACCTTAGAACAGTCTTTGATGGACAGATCGTAGGCTATAAACGCATTAGACTTGTTAAAAACTGAACCTGATTGTCAGGTATTGATATAAACCACTCACGAGTCTTTGTCAAAGAATTTTAAGTGTTCGGGAGCTATGAGGTTTGGTGAGTTTATGCTATGTCTAACTTTCAAGCATTAAGGGCTTTTGCATGAGGAACCACATCAGAGACCTTCTTTTATATGAAGTTATAAACTATATTCTAGCCTTATGTTGAGAGCTTGAGCTTTTAGGGTAGTTGGGTCTTGATGCCAATACGTTCTTACAGGTTACGTGTGGGTAATTGGGATGCTGCATGTACATTTGATTATGAACTTGCAGTGGACCATATTACTGTGTGGTTTGATTTATCTTCAAGCTTCTTTCTTGTTTTGCTTTCTTCACACTCAGATATATAAATTTTGAACCAAATTCGCTGTATATATTTTAACTGCTAACATATACTGCAGGGAAAGGATTATTCTGATTATTCCTCTTCTGTTAATCTTTCAGTGCAAGCTCATATATATATATATATATATTTAATTGTCTGAAGTTTGTCTAATGAGATCCTGACATCTTAATCAACAGGTTATCATGTCAATGGGTATTCCAAAATGCCCCTGCCATCCCTCCATTTGTCCCTTTTGATAAAACTATGGTGTAGGGGGCATTTTGGCTTGACTTGATTGTACAAATAACTGTCTTGTAAGATATAGTTAGTGGCAGCCTGGCGGGCTGTTTGTTTTTACCTTTTTCTTCTTAGAGTCAAGTAAGCAGAAGTATGTGCATGTCTGTTTGCTTTCCAGGAGTGATCTTTCCTTTTATAAGATTCAGAATTCTTCTAGCATCCGTGATGCTGTAGAAAACAAAGGTTTATTTGACTATGGGAACTGTAGGTATGATAAACTGTAGTAAATTTAGTTGATTTTTAGATTATATAATACTCTGGATAGATCATTACGGGTTTTTGTTATACACCAAGCAACTTTTTAGTATTTCATCAACCCTAATTTTACCTTTATATTTCTTTGAAGTGGAAAACTGTAGTAAATTTAGTTGATTTTTAGATTATATAATACTCTGGATAGACATTACGGGTTTTTGTTATTACACCAAGCAACTTCTTAGTATTTCATCAACCCTAATTTTACCTTTATATTTCTTTGAAGTGGAAGCAGTATGATGGTTTCTAATCCCGGGTCCTCACTCTGCAGGTTTTGGAAGAATTGGACGTGCTTAAGAAGAAGGCTAGTGCACAACCAGAAGAAATACTCCCTATTGAGAAACTGATAGGCGAGGCATTCTCAGTAATTGACAAAGCAGTGAAAGTGGGTACGCTGCACAGAAACACCGGGGCAAGGCGTAAGTCACGGCTTTCCAGATGCAAGAAGGCTGTGGAAATCCATCACGGCTGGTACGTCCCAGCTCCTGCAGTCAGTGCCTGAAACAATCTCCCCATTGATTTGAAGAAATTGGAAAGGGCTGCTAAGGGAGACTCGATATGGTTCGTTTTGCCGAGGGTGTGCTTTTCTGATCTGTTCAAACAATGTATGTAGTTTTGTGCATTTAGTCCAAAGTGGTTTAATTTTCGTTGCGTACTGTGAGATCATAGCATTATTTGATAGCATTTTCATATTTTGCCCTTGTTGGGCTTTCTAAATGTTGAATATATGGTAATAACTAGTTCATTAATTGGACTTTTGATACTTGTGCTATGATAATTGCACGTAGCATAAGGCATTGGCAGCTGTTGGTTATTTTCACTTGACATGGAAAGAAATTGGCCGCAAGGTCCGCCCATACAAGTAACCTCGAGAAACTTTTCCAGGCTTGATTGTAAAGTTAATGGTCAAACTCTATGCGTCGTAACTCGCTGGCATCAAAACGTGAGTAGGCAAGAACTTGGCCATGCTAGTGTCACCATTGGCACCCCTGGAGTGACAAGCCTACTCGCAACCGTAATTGCGTGCATTACTGCATTGGGATTTGATGCTAACTTCATCTGGCATCTTGGCAGTTAATGAAAACACTGAAGAAAATTGAATGTAGCAATACCCACCCTATTTCTGTTCGTAAACAATGTTCACCGCAAAATTAGTAGTGATGGGGATTTACTCACACGTTTGTAATAATCACTAGCTGGTACATTTCTTTGAGAAAAGAATATGTAAATGTGCGTATTTGCATTTGGAATGAAAGCCATCACGAAGGAAAGATTGATGTTAGCCATGGTGAATTGGTTATTCTTCTCTGCCATTTCTAGTTTCTAATAAAATAAGCAATGACATTCTTGTCCGTAAATTTATCAACTACTTACAAATATCTTAAGTTGATTACAAGTTGAAGGAGGCATTGCCAAGGACTTGGAGATCTACCTCCGAATTTCCAAGACCTTTTTATGTTTCCTTGTCCTGTGCTTCATCTTTAACTGTTCATGGCATCGAGGAGCTTCTCAGTTATCGGTTCCGGCACCATTCCCTTTGATGTCATCTCCTTGAAATAACGCAGAGCTTCTTTTGTTCTCCCTTTTTCATAGTGACCATGAATCATGATTGTATATGATCTCCTGTCCGGTCCCCACCCATGATTTTCCATTTCTTCCCATGTTTTCCTTACTCCAACCTCAGAATCCCATCCCATGTACAACCTTAAAACCAGGTTGTACATGTCATCATTCATGGTGCATCCATTACTCTCCATCATCTCCAAAAGCCCTGGAATTTCCTCTGGTCCCTTCACCGACCTGAGCAAGTAACTGTAAGTTATAGCATTGGGCATACAGCTCCCACTTTTCTGTGACATTTCGTTCGCTACTTCATTAACCTTTTCCCAACGCCTTATCTTACACAGGTATTTGATGAGGCAATTGTAAGTTGCCACGTTTGGGACACAGCCTCGTTTGTTCATGTCTTGAAAAACTTCAAGAGCCTCGGGAATCCTCTTCTTGAAACAAAGTGCGTCAATGATGCAATTGCATATCACGGCATCTGGTTTGACTATACCTTTATCCCACATGCCTCTGAACAACTTCAGAGCCGTCCCCAGTTTCCCCTTCTTTGTTAGAGCCTTAATGAAAGTCCCATAAGTGAAATGATCCGGCTTGCATTTAGATGCCATTATGTCCTTCCAGAACCTCTTTGCTTCATGGACATTCCCAAGAACACACCAACCATTGAGAACAACATTCCATGTCTTAATGTCTGGGGGAAACTCGTTTATCTTATTGCGGAACAGTGTCTCCGCATCTTCCACGTGCTTGTGCCTACATAGGACATCAAAAGCGTCTGAAAAGACTGCAAATCAAGCTCCATTCCGAACTCCTTCCTCCTGTAGAAGATATCAATTGCTTCCTCTACCCTATGTGCAGCAGCATGCCTAGAAAGCAACGTTCTAAATGTCACTTCATTTACAAGTCCCTTTCTTTTGGACATTTCATCGAACACCTGGTTCAGTTCCTCAAAGCGTTTGGTCCTCCCAAGAATGTCAAGAATCTCGTTGTAAACATCAGAACTATGAGTGTACCCACTTCTTGCACCTGCTTTAGAAGCCCAGTTGAAGAACACATATGCGGGTCTCCAATCAGAACGATGCCTCCTGAGCACTTTCAAAACAGAATCATGGTTCAACGCGAACCCAGATAGATCGAGAGCTCGATCGATTTCCTCCGCCAATTTGTCCCTACGAAATTTTAGAAGTTTTTGAACGAAAACAGCTGCTTGGTCAGCCGCATCACCAGTGTCTGCAATGGAATGCACGAATCGAGTTGTTCCAGTGATTCCCAGAAAATGAAGAAGCTGGGAAGGTCTAGCTTTAACCAAAGCTCCAGAATTTGGGTTGTGTAGGATTCGGATATCGCTAAATTTGTGAAGGCAGGAAAGTGAGGAGTTTGGAATGGTGCGGTGACAGTGACAGGTTGCGGGGTGGATGTTGAACAGATATTTGAATAACGCTATTGCCGACCGTGGTCGGAACTTGTACGGCATAGTTGTTGTGTTGCAATTTCGGTGGGAAGTGGGAACCTGCAGTGCCGGCGAGGCTGGGATTAATCCGAAAACGAAACGGCTGGAATTCATACCTTTCCATTCCATTTCCTCTTTACATCGTTTTCCATTGCTTCACTCTTCACTCTTCATTCCATTGCTTCACTTTATTACTGCATTTTTTCCTGATTTCACCCTTTAACTTTCAAACTACTGCCAGACACGAGACTATCCAGAGAGGCGGTTAAATTGTGTTTTATTATATAGTAATAGTTTTACAGATGATATTGGTTGATTCATGTTGATAATTAATATTAACAATAAATAATAATATTAATGTGGATTAAACTTCATTTGCAATAGTATTAAGACTCTTTCGGTTTAAGAAGATTTGTGCTTACACTGGCCTTTTGCTCCCTAATTCGTTCATCTCAACAAGGAAATGGCTTTTAAAAAAATTTGTACTGCTAGTAGCTAAGAAATTAGCAAACTACTAATTAATAAAAAGATTGCAGTTGCACCCAATTCATTCATAACAATATTTTCGTCTTAAAAAAATAATAAAAAGAAAATTAAGAAATTAGTCAATTACTAGTAGTTAAAATGCAATAAATTTTTCTTTAAAAGAAAATAAAAGGTCATTTCCCGACTCCCGTGCATTCCCTTGAATTGAATACCTTTTGCATGACCGCCTAATACTTGAGTATTTATCCGCGATTTTTAAGGATAACTGAAGAATTAAAAGCATGTCTTAAATCAAAAAATTTATTATTTTCTTGGTTTCACTTATAAGTCCAAATTTAGTATTGTGTAAAAGTCTTTTGGTCGGATTCAATTTGAAACCATCTGATTTGGCCTAGATAAAAACTGGTTCTTCAAGGTAAAAAAACAAAAAGACTATTTTTTTTTTTGTTAAACTGAACAGGAGATCGAGTATTTGATCCTATAAATTGATTTAATATAATTATAATTAATTTCTTAATTATTATAACAACAAATTAGTTGTGTACTACATGGAAAAACAATAGGAATAAGAGATAGGTCCCTTGCTCGAATAACTCGCACAACACACCCATTCTCACTTAGGTCGCAAAAAAGGCCCTTTCCCCGCCCCTCCGCACCACTGTCAATCGAGACATCTTCCATTTGTCATTCAACAAGTGCTCGCCTTTCACCTCTTATTCACATTGCTATGTTGCCTCTCACCGCTAATTCATGCTGTGTTGTTGTCTCTCGCCTTTGATTTGAGTTACTTGTTGTGGGTCCTCTGATTCTTACACGTTCTACTGTCTTTGAGGTATTTCTGCTACTTGCTACTAATGTTGTTAATTTCTTGTTCATTCTATGAGATACTTGAAGTGATATATTGTTGACAGGCAATGCCAAGCATTGAATAGTGAAATTCAAACATGAATTATGATTTATGACACCTTGTGACTATAAAACTCAAATTGATGACCCCTTTCCACTTAAACAACATGGGATTTAGCTTGTGCCTTTAAACTGCTATCGTAGTAGTTATCTGTGCCTAAAATTTTTTTGCTCTTGGGACAAATGTCATTTAGTACTTGCATTTAAATAGCTAAAAAAAATCAACCCCTTTAATAGTGTAAAGTTCTTATAAAAATTATACTTTGTGAACTCCAATTCCAAAAACTAAACAAGGACTCTCAAATGTTGCAAATTACGTGTAAGTTCTTGCTTACTAATTAATCTAACAACACTCACCACTTATTCCACATTTTAGGATGATTTCATCATACTTCTCGTTAACAAACATAATCATGAAATCATCTTTTTTCTAACTAACCAACCAACCATAGCCCTTATTGGCTTATACTCAAAAAGTTAGCCAATTTAAATTATCAAGACATATACTCACAATTAATATGCATTTATAATCCTAGTTGACAATATATAAATACATATAATATAAATCATCTGCACATATACACTAAGGCATTTGAAGCAATTATTGATTTCGTGCCTTTGATTCCCTTTTCCTTTGCACCTATAAAGCGTCACCTATAAAAATATTAGCAATGGAGAATAAGATAAACATCTTAATAATTAATAAATTCCTAACTTTTAACATATATTTAAATAGTATTTGAGATTGTGTAAACATAATAATCCCATACTAAATCATAAAATCACATATAATACCACATATTCACATAAATAGGCATGCATGATTATCTATCACCTTATAACCTTCTAATTCCTTATAATTGAGTCCATAGGCTACCAAGTAATAGAACTGAGTCTATCTTGACTTGCCCCAAGCTTTTCGATATTTGAGACATAACTCAGCCTACTACTCCCCAAACTTGAACTATAGACTTTCATGCCTATAGGGCGTCATATAATTGTTAGTACACATATCCACTCTTAGAGTGAGTATCATTAGCTAAGACAAAACCACATCTAACCCCCATTAGAGTGAATGCCACAGCTAAACAATTGTGGGCACTACTCAAATATTTTTCATGTCACATGGACTTAAATATGCTCTTTCAAATCACAAAGTGAACTCCCACCCTTCTATGTCACACATGTACATTACATTTATGATCATGCCAGTATTATATGTTCATCATTTTCATGACATGCAATAACATATTTTTCAATAATTCATAATTATACAATAATCCATGATTCCATAATATATCACATTCAATACTCCAATTCATTGCTCAAGTTTGCAATATATAAATCACATACACATACATCTTTTACGCATTCTCATATATATATATATATATATAGTTCATGCTTTCGCCTTTTTCCTAAAAAATATCACTTATATATATATATATAATAAATGCTAGAATTAATATGAGGGAATTTAAGTTCTCAATTATCTCCACCCCTTGAGTTAGTGAAAAGGGCACTCAAAGCATGCTTACACAATGTCTTCAATTATGCACAGCAACCACAAAACATTAGTATACAATTAACATCATAGAGTTTATCAGTACTAGCCACATGTGTGTACTCAATGCATATATGACTTAACATAACACTCTAAACTCATTTCATTAATTAGTTTATAATTTTTATTAACATTATTAAATTCATTAGACTCCCAACGTCTAACTAAATCCATTATAAGTCTCCATAGTCTGTTATTTAATCATAAGAATTCTTTATAAGGTCTAAGGTTTCAAGTTAAATCTTCATATGAAGGACAACGTTAATAAATTTCATATAAGGAAACGAATCAAAGATCCAACCATTTAAAATATCAAGTTGGATATCATGAACCTTATGACCAAATTTTATCTAGATCCAATGATGAACAAATTCATAAACAAAAATTTATCAAGATTACTTTAATTCACGACAAAGTGAAAATAGCTGTTACATATGACAGAATTAATAATTCTCTAATAAGGCAACTAATTAATGATCCAATCATTAAAAGGATTAATTGAATGTTATGAACCTAATGACTAAATTTAAGCTCGATCCAATAATAAAAAAAATTAAAAATGTCAATTTATTAAGACTGTTTTGTGAATATATGAAAATAGCAGTTATGAATGATAACGTTAATAACACTATAATCAGAAAAATATCAATAATCCAACAATTGAAAAGGACAAGCTGTATGTTACAAACCTTATGACTAAATTTAAGCTCAATCCAATAGTGAACAAATTTGTGAAGGTTGATTTATCAAGACTACCATTTGTAGATGTGAAAACAGTTATCTCTTTGCTTCTCTCTCGAATGGTTGTAACTAAATCTTAAATATAATCTTTCTCTCATGACTTAATCTAACAATTTCTCTTCTACTTAATGAAACTCACAATGTGCTTTAATATTGGGCCTTTCTTCACAGAAGAAAGGTGTTCAAATTCATTAACTTTAATTTTTCAACACAATTAAATTATCAATTAAACTTTATAATTTTTTTAAATTAAATTCTCAAATAAAAATAAGATATTACATTGCACTTATAATTTTAACTGAGAAAATCTGTTTTGTCCTCTCCTCTGAGAATCATTAATTTCAAACGTGTGATCTTTTTTACTTCTTGCATGACTCTCTCCATGTTGTGCCCCGTGCTGTTACCTTCCCCTCCGTGCATTGAAACCTCGGGATGTACATCCAGAAAAGGGTCCTGGCTATGATATGGGCTGACATTGTGGGAATTGGCCGACCACTAAACTTGAAGCAACGCTGATTTTCGGTTGCCACCAGAATATCCATGCACGTCATATTTCATGCAACAACTCATCCCTGCGTAGTTCTCTGTCAATGTTCTTCCCCCACAAACCGTTAGCATTTATAGTTTCAAAGGTGCAAAATTTGTGGACATACAAGTTGCCATTTTAGGTAGCCAAACTTCTGATAGGCAGCTCAATCGACGGAGAAATTTAGAGGCTCATGACATGAGACTCAAGTATTTGATTCACCCAAAGTTCTTTCTGACAATACCTGTTTATCGACAACATAAACAATTAAGGAAAAAAAAATATATGTGCTCCAAAATATGAAAGCAAGCTATAAATTGAATTAAATATGGCATAGTCTCATTGAGAAGTGGCTCGAGTAAAATCAACTAGAAAGAGAACGGCGAATTGCGTAATATAGTCCATAGTCCATAATCTTGAGAGAAAAAAACCAGCAATCTCTAACGTCAATGCAACACTAATAGCAGAAAATTCCAGAAGAGGAGAAATAGTTAAACACAAATGGAAATCGTAAACTAACAATAATTCATATAAGCTCCTTAGGATAGAGGCCTGAGGAAGACGAAGAGGTCTCAAAACACTAGCATTAAAGAACCGAACCCAAACGGTAGGAAGCAAAATTCTCCTTCATTGCCTTGTAGTTTGAGCAGCCGCGCTGTAGTCACTAGTTACTATTCTTCACTCGATATTGTCCGTTTTGTTGATGATAAAAAGGGAAAATGGTATAGGATGTAGGATCATCTTAAATTCTGATATGACCTGACTTTTATAATCTTTGCATGGCTTTGATTGTGTCTTTTTATTCACAATGAATAAAATAGAAGGGAAAATGGTCCTCGGTGGTGAAAAGTCTGAGGCTGTGAGTGAAAATGAGAACACCATTCTGCTGTTTCCTGGGCCTTTCCCACTGGGCTCTGAAAAGAGAAATGGCTTGAATGACGTAGTTATTCAAAACAAAACCAAGGGGGATATTTGGTGGAGCGTACGAATTTTTACTAAAATCGTCACATTTAATGTCAACAATAACTCGAATA